AACCAGACATGCACTTTTGATCCTTCATCAACAACTAGTTATGATTCTTAGCCACAAGGAGTGCTAAAATCAGCTTAGGATACTTCGCATAATTTGTTGTCTTGTACTACTGCTGGAGTACAAATTACTCGCATGAAAAGTTGGCAATGTCTTTCCAATTAAATATTTATCTGAAACTTCTTGTTTAGAGTTTCAATTGCGAGACTATTTTGTGCATAGCTGAATTATAGTTAAATCATTGACTTACATTATAATCTCAAAATTAAACATGAGATTAAACTAGTCAAAATGTGTCTTGGGGAAGAACATTTGATGACTTTTGGTCGGAATAGTCCTTCAGGGACTTCCATTAATGCAAGGGGTTCTTTTTCAATCAGATACTCATTTTTAAGATCGTGGTTCAAGTGGTGACATATGAAAATGAGAGCTTGTGCCTTCTGGGCATCTGTGCTCTGTGACTTAGCAACAAAAGCTTGGCTCAATTCTTTGGATGCCAAATAAATTTCAATATCTAGGACCCAACAATTGCTTCCTTCATAAGCGAGTTCAATAAATTCACATTTGACAATTGAATACGTAATCTACAAAACATATATCATATGTTCTCATATACATTCATAATATCACATGTTTATAGCAAAATAAGAAATTTAACATCTTCTAGATGCAAAATGAACTTTCCGAGATGAAGTCAAAAGATAAAATCAGAAAACAAATTGATCTTTCGAATATACACAAAAACCGAAATGGTGCAACACGAATTGGTGAGGCAAACACCAAATTGATGCAACAAGCATCGACTCGTGTTTATATCATCAACTCGTGCTACAAGCAACAAGGCACGAATCGGTGCGAAAACACCGAATTGATGCAGCAAGCATCGACTCGTTTTATAGCATCAACTCGCGCTACAGGCAACGAGTGGTGTTTCATTCTCCAATACACCGAATTGATGCTCCCAAGTCATCAATTAAACTTTAAAGTCTTACTCACTCTTAAGCTTCCACAAAATAAACTTTAACAATCTTAATTAAAAAATCATTCACAATTTTCTATGAAAGGCATGATCTACAAGATCATCATTTGATGCAACTTTAGGAAGCAATATGACAACTTGGAAAAAAAATCAATATTTTGAATACATGTTCAAGCAATGGATGAAGAAACATCTTTTACATAAATATGCATACATGTTTCTTAGCATTATAATACAAACACAGCAATCCGATGCAAACATATAATAAGGACCGATTATGCATTCGATATCCATAGTCATAGAACATACATGGATACATATACATACAATTTGGCATATAACTACATGTATTTACCATCTCAAAGCACCATGGATTCGTGGTTCATATAGAGCCTAACTCATATACAAGAATTGAGAGAATAAATACAAATAATATGTATTTACAAATTCATGTATTTACCCAAATTCTTAACAATGTCTTGATGAGGGGTTCATCACTCAAAAGTTGTTAACAAACCAGAAGAATAATCACTCATTTTATAGAAACAATAATTGAAGGTTCCAAACCAAACTCATAGCCATATATACACATAATATTTATATATAAACAATGGCATATGATTAAAAACAAAAAAACAAATGCACGGGAAAATGAACCAATAGTACCGTTCACCGGAGATTACAATAGAGACTCGTGCTGATAACGTGTTGTAATTTGGCCTATCAACTAGCTCAGTTCTCGCGTGATGTTTGCACGGTACTGCTTCTTGATTGTATGTATATGAGTATATAGAATAGATAAGTAAAAGGGAGATGAAGAACACAATGTATAGAACACAATTTCATAAGACTATCTTTTCATTAAGCCTTCACCCTCAATTTATAGGGACCATTACAACCTTTCACATACTTATCATAAACAAGATATTAAGTAGAAGGCAAATGAAGAGTCTCAAGATTAATGGCCACTAATTGAAATATTTATAACAGGTTAATCATTAATTGAATTAATTCAGTTGATAACAATTTTTTTTTTGGCTAAATTAATGGTTAATTATACTGGAAAAATCATTTACCGGTTAATATGGTTAAACAATTTGAATTTCATTCGAATCAATAAATAAATAAATAAATAAATATATATATATATATATATATATATATATATATATATATATATATATATATATAATTGCACTCAGGTGCGAATGCTTCGCCCAGGAGCGAAATAGGAATGGATTTTGTCAGTCCACGTGTCCATATCTAATGGATGAGAAATACTGATTTTTTTTAAAGCGCGGTGGCATTTTCGTAAATAATTGAACATCGAAGTGCAAGTAAAATGTATTACAAGTGCATGTAAAATGTATTATAGGTGCAAGTAAAAATTTACACTGAGCATCAATACTAAGTGCACCTATAGTTATAAGTAGTTGCACCTATAGTTCTAAGTAGTTGCACACATAGTTATAAGTAGTTGCACCTAGGTGCATGAATGTTTGCGAGTGGTTTTCAGGGGTATTACTACCCGCTGAACTCAGATCAATGAATGTTAACAAGGCAAAATTACATGCACTTATAGGTGAAAGTAGGTGCACCTATAGTTATAAGTAGTTGCACCTATAGTTAAAAATAGTTGCACCTAAAGTTATAAACACACCCAGGTGCATGAATGTTTGCGGGAAGTGAATGCTAACAAGGCAAAATTACATGCACTTATAGGTGAAAGTAGGTGCACTTGTAAGTGATTTTTCTTGCACTTCGATGTTCAATTATTTATGAATATGCCACTGCATTTTTTTTTAAGCTATTAGATCTGGACACGTGTCGCGCGCTGATTCGTTCGCATATTCCTTCCTGGGCACTTATTCGCACCTGAGTGCATCTATTATATATATATATATATATATATATATATATATATATATATATATATATATATATATATATATATATATATATATATATATATATATGATTATTTTCAAATACAAGCACCCCTTAAAATACAAACTGTGTGCATGTAAGTATGTTAATGTGTGCACGAGTTAATTCCAGATATTGTTGGCAGTGTGTCCTGTGTGCATGTAAGTATGTTAATGTGTGCACGAGTAAATCTAAAAAATTGTTGACAGTGTGCCTTGTGTGCAAGTAAGTATGTTAATGTGTGCACGAACTCAAGTTTGTATTTGAATGCAATATATATATATATATATATATATATATATATATATATATATATATATATATATATATATATATATATATATATATATATATATATATATATATATATATATATATATATATATATATATATAATATTTTATATTTTATAAAATATATTATATAAAATGAAATTTTGTTAATTCAATCAATTAACTGGATTATTCAAAATATAATTAGGTTAATTTTGAACCAAATTAAACAAACAAACACCCTAAAAATAATTGCTACGTCATTCTATTTTATTTTTATACAAAGAAAGAATAAGAAAAAAAAAAAAAACTCATTTCATTGCTAACAATGTATAAGTCACTTCACCCACGCACATTTCATTTTCATTTCACTTTCTTGGATCTTTCCTCCACGTTTCGAAAATCATCATCATCTAACACTTTACAATCTACATGCCTAGCTCGCGTAACACAACTCAGCTGATTAAGAAATTCAAAATAAATTGAAAATTTTTGTTAACAATTCCATGGTGTAGATTAGACACTAATGTATAAGTATATAGAGGTCATTGAACTAAGTAAAATATATTCCACAATTTATCTTATCCACCTATTTTTAAGGTAGGAATATTAAAAAGTCATCAAATTTGAAGTTCAAACTTACCATCTCCCTAGTTGCGTTGAATTATTAATTATTCCGTTCTTAAAATCTTAATTACTTCATAATATTGTGAGGATAAATATGGTTGACTTTCCACTTTTCTTATTATGAATAAACATGTAAAATGGTGTCATCAATCAACATACACCAACCCACACGGTGCTATTTACTTAAATAAATAGTTTGAATTGGAGGGATATCTACCTACTCTTGGCGAAGTTGTTGCTTGTATTACTTATGGAGTTTGGACTTATATACTTGTTTGTCTCTAATTTAATATAACAAGCTAAGTTAGGAACCTTATAAGAGTATATCATGGTCAATTATGTCCATATTCATGTATTTTATAAAGTTATACGTTAGGCTGATAATATAATATTATTTATTTTTATCGAACAAAATTATTTTAAAATTTTATAATTGTATATTATCTGGATAATTTAAAATAAAATAACATATTAAACAAAATATGAGTTATGTTTACTGTTATAAATTCTACTGGAATAAAAAGGTTCAAAAGAGTATATTATGTAAATATTTATGTATTCTATGAAGTTGTAACTTGTAAGTTATGCCAAGAATATAATTTTTTTTTTTTGTATCGAATAAAATTGAAGTATCATATTAACTTCCGAACAATGCTAGATGTTCCTATAAAAATTTCTCTCTTTTTTTTTTTGGTCATTGTGACAATTTTTAATCGGTTAAAATATGAAAAAAAAAAAAAAAAAAAAAAAAAAAAAAAAAAGCCAAACATTTTCCTTAAACCAAATACGGATTATATTTATTTGTCATAAACTCTACTGGAATTAAAATATTCAAAAAGGAGCACATGGGACATTCAGAGAAACTGGAAATAAAAATGTGCTAAAGGAGAAAATGGGGCATTCCGAGAATTGAACTCGGGACCTCTCGCACCCTAAGCGAGAATCATACCACTAGACCAAATGCCCTTCTTGCTACAATTGCTTACATAAACCTATATATAGTATTATAGTTTGAATGGTTCCCATATTCATATTGAATCCATATCTTCTGTCTCAAAGACTAATATTTGTAGACATTATATATTATAACAAATAAATTTGATTTCATATAATTTTAATTAGTAAAATTTGTTAATTATTTTAAAAAATATAAATATTGGACACATGTTTTTGCACATTGCGCATAGAAAAGACTAATTGAAAAAATAAGTGTTACTAAACAAGTATTCTAAACAGAAAAACAAAGAATGAAAACTGAAAAATTAGAAAACATAAAACAGTTTCCATTAGTAAACGGGCCCATTATTTTCCTCCATTTGCAGTTGTATATAAAAGTCCACTCTTAAGCCACAAAAGTAATGTAACACTGGGGGCTTAGGCTTCAGATTTCTCCTTCCCGGAGACCTCTTGGAGGTAGTTCCCAAGAATCCTTTGATCAAGAACCATATTTGGTACCTAAAAATAAAGACCCTTAAGTAAACAACTCTATGAAGATGCAGAATAACTAAACTAAGAGCAGAATGAACGCGATCCAACCTTGTTCCCGAAGAACATTTTTGAGTTGTTTGTAATTGCTTCAATAAATTTGAGTTCCAGAAACTGTGGTGTGAGCTTCAACCTGTTAGCTTCTGCTTCTTTCATTGTGCTGATAAACACCAGACATGCGAGACTCATCACATGTGTGCTCCTGATATTATTACGAAAAAAGTGACGAACAAAAGTTAAGAAGGTTTCACCGATAGTATGCAGCATCTGCCAAACTTTTCTCGCGTGCTAGATACATCGCATTAGCAATTTCCTCTTCCTTCCTTGCACTGTCTTTCTCCATTAGCTTCTGTTCCATCTGAATCTTACTCACATGAGCATTCTTTTCAGCTTCACTGATAGCAATCTTCTTCTGTGTCTCTGCTTCTTTCTCAGCAACTCTTTGTTTCTCCATAGAAATCAAGACCTACAAAGTTTTCTTTGTTAACAAAACGTTTTGCCAGTAAAATAAATCTTTTCTTCTGCTTCAGAAATCAGAACGAACATAAGAAAGACAACGACAAAGAAACAATGTGAAATCTATATAGATCTGTTGTAAAATAAAACCATCAGCATGGTCACCCTGTTTGAATCTGCCACTAGTGAAGAAAGGAAACTATTAGAATTCTGAAGGATAAGAAAAAGAGCAATTAAATCTACACATCCTAAAGACTAACCGGATGTTAGATTTTGATGCTTTAGATATATCAAGCCTGGTCCAATCAAGAGCTATGGAAGTGTGATAGTATGAAAAACATCATTAGATGTCACATTGTCACCTTAGTGCGCTCCTCTTCCATGTGTTGGAAGTTTCTTCTTATGCTTTCTGGGATGGTTGGTTTTGTGACACGTACGCTGATAATTTCAATACCAGGAGCATAACGTGTGCAGTCGGCCTGAAGAGCATCTTTCATTTTCTCATCAATCTGGAAATTGTAACAAGGAACCCCATTAAAGTTTTCAGGAGTAACATTCGACAATACAATAGATATCCTTTTCTTTAGCATATTATCCTAGGGAGAGGGGTATGCATCCTTCTCCATTTCCTTTTATGGAGGTTCATTGCTGCTTTGTAGCTCATAAGCTCAATATAAATGATCTCAACATAAGCATAAGGTTATGCATAAGTAATTTTATTAAAAATTAAGAAATATTTAAACTTCCTCTAACAGAGTAAACACCGGAATCACAAGCCTTAGCATTAGAAGACTGAATTTATTTCAAACCACAATTATATACATCAACTTGTTCAAGGCTTTATTTCACATCTATTATTACCTGATCAAACATATCAATATAAACTTGTTGAAGGCTGTGGCCGCTGCAGAACTGATTAATTTCATGATGGATTTTGTCATATATCCATGTGTTGTCATAATGTACTCCATAGTTGAGCAGGGTGTCATACACATGTTCCTTTCGAAGGCGGTTAACAACCTAAAGGCATAATAACCAAATAGATATGGGTTAAACCAAATAAAATTAGCAAAATACATTGGATGTGATCAACAAGACCTCAGATTTATACTTCAATTTTCTCAAAATTGATCATTACACCTCCTTTTGTTCCACATGGAATATCCCTCACCTACAGTTTAGCAAGCATTTAACAACATTCTTAGATATATTTAGAAACAACAATCTAGCAACAAAAGAATAAAGATCTAGAGACAATCTTACTAAATCAGTCTGAAGAGTGACTTGAATGGGTTCAAAATGAGTAATAAAGGGCAGTTTCAAATGAAAACCTAAAAAGTAACATAAGATTCTTTAATAATCTCAAAATTCAAAATCAGAAGAATGCATTATATACAGTGGAAGCAGCAGTTAAATTTAAATCAAAAGGTAAAGGAAGAATCACTAACCTGGAGTTGTTATTGTGCTTAAAAGGGCACCTCCTCTCCAGTAGACCCCAACGTGACCTTCAGGTACTTGATGTAGGGTAGAAAAACTGTTAGTTGACAGCAAAGGAGTCACCACCTGTAAATAAATGACTAGCTTCTGAGAAAATTTCCTGTCAATACATTTGACAATCACAAACTCACATTTTTTGCATCGGTGATTGGAAAGAAAATTTTCATGAAACACTACGTTATTACAAATATGATCTCATTAACAAAATAGGCACAAGGTCATATATGCATCATATCCAAAGCCAAGTCAACTGAGCTACTGCAAGTAAATGTTTCCATATCATTGGCATACAAAAGTAAATTGGTAAGTTCTATGATCATTAAATAGCAAGTGCCTTCATTGAATGTGAGCAATAAGTCCCAGAATTGGCAGTGTAACTACTTCCATTCTTCAATATGATGAATATTTTACCAATTAAAACCTTACAAGTCTTTACATCCACCAATACAGGGAGCCAAAATATTATTATTGTGCCATGGAAAACACCAAATAATTGTCAATTGTAATTTTCTTTATCACCAAAAATTTACCCTAAACAATAAAGGCACTATCAGTTGAGTGCTTAAGAGGCTCCTTCACATTCCAAATGATGTTTCAGCCTGTGATGCCCCTAAATCTCCATTGCAAGACATCCAATGTTAAATTTATTGATATGTATTGAAGTCAATGTAAGGAGCTATCCCAATGATTTCTGAATATTCAAATGCATACTCATGCTCAAAACAACATAGTGCAGGTAGATATAACCAGCAGATAGAGAATCAAAGCAAAATTACTGCAATAAGCCAGTAAACAATTTCAAAAACACTATACATCCTAGGATAATATCCTTTACAAAGTATAATCGCCACAGCTCAGTCCATACACTACTGATTTCAAGGTCTAGTATAATAATTTGTACAAGTCATAAAAGTTGATTAAACTACGAATCTATAAGTCAATTTCAGAGCTGCACAATCAAGTAATATATTGAATTCAACATTTCACGAGAAGTACACTGTTAAACTCGAGGAAGGAAAGTGGAAATGCAAATACCGAACACTGTTAAATCAAACCTTTAGAAAATTAGAAGGATATACAGTACTAAAATCTGGACAAGTATACGAAATTACGAAAAATTAAACAATAATGCACAATTTTAACAATTAAATCATATGTACGTGCACTGAGGTTCAAGCACAAGAACAGGTGAATTACCATGACGAAAATAGCAATAAAGGACAAGAACACGAAGAGTATGGGAGTGAAGTCGGATCCACCACCGGCGCCGGCGGCTTGTGACGGTGAAGGCCGTGCCTGTTGACCTTGCCTAGCGGCGTCTCTCTGCTGTTCCTGTGTATCCATGGCGGTTAGTGGCTTTGCTTGCTTAGCTCTCCGATGCTTCCCTCAGGCTTCCCTCTCTTTCCCAAAAATTCTCAGTGGCTTTTAATCCTTTTACAATTTATACTATAAAGGAAACTATAATTTATACTATAAAGGAAAATATGGGCCCGTGTGTGCTTTAATGGGCCTATCATTATCAATTGCGGAGAACTTCACTTCTCACTTTCTCAGAAGTTTCCAAGCAACTTTTTTGTTTTTCCAACTGGGAAATTATACTTTTGACTCGGATGAGCATTTGCAATGAGAAAATTAAGAGAAAAATAAATTATAATTCCATGAAATGAATAGTGGGGAAATAAGATGGAAATTTAAATTGTAATGTTTGATTTGTATAAATATTGATGGATATATTACAATCGGAGTAAATCGACTCGGTGAGGTGGAACAAGACCTAGAAAGCTGGAGCAAGATTCGGAGAGGTGGAGCAAGACCCGGGGTCCCGACCCGTGGGGCCTCGACCCATAGGACCTTGTCCCATGGAATCTCGCCCGGAGCAGGGTACTGACTCGGGGGAAGTCGGTTGAGCAAGGTGCCGACCCGTGGGGTCGGCTAGGGAGAGGTCGGTCATCGACGGGCTGACCTGGAGCCGGTCAAGAGGACGCGGTCAACGCGAATCTAACCACCCCCCACCTTAGGGGGTGGCGGTTAGGGGTGGGGGTTGTATAAAAACCCCCCACCTTGTCTCTTTAGGACATCTAACATTTATTCTACACACTTTGTTCTAAAATACTATTGTAATATCCAATTATACGGCATTTAATACAATATACGGTCTTACGGCCTTTACGACATCGTTTCATTTATTTACTTATTATCTATACTGCGTTCTTATCCGGGTTTAATAATTCGGGCCACCCCGGGTTAATTAAATCCATCATTAGTGCTCTTGTTGAGAGCTGCTGTACCAGCTCAAGCGTGTTCTATATTCAGTGGTCTACCGCGACCAGCTACTATGGCAAGATCGAGATCCAACTCTCGCCACACCAACGATTCCTGCGGCACTCAGCTCGTCGCAACCGGGAACGCCCCAACGGGGTCCCCAGCCCTCAACGGGGTCCCCAGCCTTCAACGGGGTCCCCAACTACTATGGCAGGCTTGGTTTGATGGGGAAGGTGGTGGTTTGTTAGGCAGTTTGCAGCTATGTAGTGACCATTTGCAAGCGTGTTGGGGGGGGGGGGGGTGATCGCTTCCATATGTTTGGCAAACAGATTAAGCTTCTTCAAGCAAAGCTCACGGGTCTGAGGGGACGTACGGATTCAGCCTCCCTAGGGGAATATCACTCCATTGAGGCTCACCTATCTCATTTTAGAAGCCCAAAAAGATGTATTGGAGGCAAAGGACTAAACAGCACTGGCTATGGGGAGCGGATACCAACACCAAATTTTATCATAGGTATGCTTCTTCTCGTAAGCGCAAAAATACTTTATCTAGATTGAAGGGATCGAATGGGGATTGGGTGACTAAAGATGCTATGAATGTTGTGATTATTGACTACTTTGCAAATATTTTTAAAACTAGTAATGCCCCTGTTCATGATAATTTCTTTGATTCGGTGTTGCCTCGAGTGTCTGATTGTCAAAATGAGTCCCTTCTTAGACTATTTGTAGCTGAGGAAGTTAAAGGGGCCCGCTTTTCCATGTTCCCGGACAAAGCCCCAGGTCTGGATGGGATGATCCCGGGTTTCTATAAGCATTTTTGGGATGTCGTGGGGGGGGGGAGGGGGAGTAACTGCTTTTGTGCTTAACTATCTGAATTCTGACCACTTCCCGGATGGTTTAAATGTGTCTAACATTGTGTTAATCTCAAAGAAGAAGGTGCCTAAGGTTGCTGCTGATTTAAGACCTATTGCTCTCTGTAATGTGGTTTATAAAATTATGGCAAAAATGATTGCGAACATAATGGAACCTTTACTAGATGGTGTTATCTCTGAGTCACAGAGTGTTTTTATTCCAATAGGCTAATTATGGATAATATTCTTGTTGCTGCTGAAATTGGCCATTTCTTGAATAGAAAGCAATGTGGTAAGGCTGGTTGGCGGGCTCTAAAACTAGATATAGCAAAGGCATACGATAAAATGGAGTGGTCTTTCTTGAGAGCTATGTTGATGGCGTTAGGTTTTGCTGGAAGATGGGTTAATTTGATTATGTTATATGTAACCACTTGTCTCTTATAATGTTCTTGTTAATGGTTCTGTTGGAGGTATGGTTACTCTAACACGGGGGTTGAGACAGGGAGATCCTCTTTCTCTGTATTTGTTCATTATTTGTGCTGAGGGACTGTCATTCATATTACAGAATGCACAAGCACAAGTTTTATTCATGGTTGTAGGGTTGCTAGGGGGGCCCGCGGTTTCCCATTTATTATTATTATTATTATTATTATTATTATTATTATTTTGCAGATGATAGCCTTTTGTTCTTCAAGGCAAACGCCCAGGAAGCAGGTGTGATCAAGCAGTGCCTAAGTTTATACGAGCAACTGTCTGGCCAATCTATTAATTATCATAAGTCTAGTGTTTGTTTCAGTAAAAACACTGGATGTGATGATAGGAATGAAGTGGTGGCGACATTAGGCGTTGTTCAGGCCAATGATTTTGGTAAATATTTGGGGCTTCATTCTTTTATTGGAAGGAATAAGAAACAGGTGTTTACCTATATTGAGGAAAAAATAAAACAGAGGATTAGGTCATGAAATAAAAAGTTGTTGTCCCAGGCGGGCAAAGAAATTCTCTTGAAAACTGTGGCCCAAGCAATGCCCACTTTTTCTATGAGCGTTTTTTTTTGCTTACTAACTCTACTTGTTTAGCCATTCAAAGAATTATGAACTGGTACTATTGGGGTCAAAGTGGCGCCAGTGAAAGAGGAATACATTGGATGGCTTGGGACCGCCTATGCAAACCGAAAACTGCTGGTAGTCTGGGGTTTAAAGATCTTAGAGCTTTCAATTTGGCTATGTTAGGGAAGCAGGCATGACGCTTTCTCACTAAACCTGAATCCCTAGCTGCCCGGGTATATAAGGCAATGTATTTCCCTAAATCTTCCTTCCTTAATGCCTGTGTAGGGAATAACCCTAGTTTTTGTTGGAGGAGTATTATGGCTGCCCATGAGCTGATTTGCAATGGTGTAAGGAGGAGGATTGGTGATGGTGTTTCTACCATGATTTGGGAACACCCATGGCTATTAGACTTGGATTTCAGAATTCAGACTGCTATGCCCCATCAGCTACAGGGTTCTAAGGTGTCAGGTTTGATTGATCAGGATACTCAGTCCTGAGACCTGGCTATTCTTAATGATATCTTTGGTCCTTATGACGTTAATCGTATCCTAAGGGTTTCTGTGTGTCCATCCTATGAAGATTCATGATATTGGTTTAGGGAGCCTAATGGATCTTATTCTGTGAAAAGCGGGTATTATAGTATTGTTGGAGAGATAGCGAATTCTACTGGTTTCGATAAATGGTCTGCCCTATGGAAATTGAAGGTCTCCCAATGTGGAAAACATTTTTATGGAGAGAGATTCGGGGTATCCTACCTACCCCAGCCGCCCTAATTGAAAAGAGAGTTGATGTGAATCCATTTTGCCCTATGTGTGCTTTAGTTCATGAGGATGTCATGCACTCTCTAATTGAGTGTGCGTATGTACATCGTGTTTGGAATGAATCTCGTCTCCCTATTTCTTGTGTGTATGGTGGGTCTTTTGCGGAATGGTTTAGAATTCTATGACTATGTTAACGCCGAATGTTCTTGTTCAAGTTATTGCAGTTCTTTATCAAGTATGGTCCGCAAGAAATTCTACGACATGGGAGGCATTTTTGCGGGCCCCGAAGTGTGTTTGGAGAGCGACTGTGGCGTCCATTACAGCCTGGAATTCGGCCGGACAGCATGTGGAGAACTCCGCCCAGCAGCAACAACACATGCCGGTTGTGGCGGGATTGCGCTGCTTCGTCGATGCAGCGTTCGTGCCTGGAGCAGCAGCGTTTGTAGCGATGTTGTTGGCGGATGGTGGTACCTTCATGGTAGCGATGAACGAGAGTTTGTCATACTGTGAAAATACTCTCACAACAGAGGTCCTGGCTTGCAAGGAGGTTTTGTCTTGGTTGAAGGCTCGAGAGGTTACGGATGTTACTCTTTATACGGACTGTGCGACCCTTCAAAATTACATTAGCAATTTATCTACTGCTCCTAGACTTATGTTGGCGTTGTGATCAATGATTGCAGAGCTATCATGGCTACTTTCTCTTCTTGCATTTTACTATCGGTTACTAGGCGTTTAAACATTACAGCCCATACTTTAGCGTCAAATGTCTCGGCTCAGCTACTACTTTGTATTGGGACACTGTCCCTCCTGACTTTATTTTGATGCATTTGCAGTAATAATATTATTACGTTGTTTGCTTAAAAAAAAAAAAAAAAAAAAAAAAAAAAAAAAAAAAAAAAAAACTCACACGGAACCAATTAATTCACCAAATTACAATAAATGCAATCCAATGACACATCATATAGAGACTAGTGATAGTCCGTTCAGAGGAGTCACGAATAGATCCGTCATCATTCACACCGAGTGCTGCCATGGAAGAAGAGAACCTGAACATAGCTAACTGATACCAGATGAGGATATGAATAATATCGTAATTCGTAACATTAACCAAAGACTGAAGATAGTCATATAAGGATACGGAGAGAGAGTGCTAGATTATCACAACCAATACAGTCTTAACAATTGTAATAGAGTAAATAGCATTCAAACAAAAAAAAAAAAAAAAACCCACACGGAACCAATTAATTCACCAAATTACAATAAATGCAATCCAATAATGACACATCATATATCATATCATTAATTAAAATATTTAGTATACAATCTGCTCCAAATAGTAATTTTATTATACTTGAATTTGAAATCTTATCAAATATGTTAACAAATCAAAAAAATCCTACAAAATTAAAGAAATTCTTAATTTATTTATCATACAATACAGTGAATTAATTAATTACCCATAATTTGTTTATGGTTGGTAGGCCACAGTCCAACAACTCTCCATAAGTTTCCGTTATAAAAAGGATTTAAGGCCCCCAGAGAACAGATACCGTACCGCTTTCATACCTGAAGACTGAAGTTCAAATCCAGGAACGTACGATCATATCGGAGCACAGAAATGGGCAGAAAAAGAGGCGCCAACTGGACGCGTAAAAGGAAGAGGAGAACGAAAGTGGAGGAGAGGAAGGAAAAGGAAGGAGGAGAAGTTGAAGTTGGAGAAGAGAAGGCGGATGAGTTATCCACAGAAGGCTCTCGCGGGTCTCCGTCTATCGATCAGGTCTTGTGTATATATATGTTTATATCATAGTTGCAGTAGGCGCTAAACCGTTAGTCTGGCGTTAAAGAAAAACCTAGTGCCTAGAAGGTAGGCGGGTAACTAAAAAAATAAAAAATAGTGCATGTGTGTGGTGTATATATATGTCATATTACACCCATATACATTGCTGAAAATTATGGAATTTCAGACCACCGGTAAGTATCTTAAATCAAGTCTAAAGTCCGTTGCGATCATTTTTGGTATCTAAAAAAATTTTTGTTGCTATTTTCGACCACTTTTTGCTTTCAACTTGATTTAAGATTGGTCCGAAATTTCATAATTTCCAACAGTGATAATGAAAGAACAATTAACAAGATCAAGCTGACCGGGTTAACTCGACCAAAATGAACGAATTAACTGGACCGAGTTAGGGACTAGGCGGTCCAGTACCAAGTTAAGCGCTAGGCAGACTCCTAGACGAAAATAGCCAGCGGGGCTAGATGGGCGCCTAGATGGATTTTTACAAGAGTGGTTTACATACGCTACTGATCGAGAAAATCGTGGTCTGTGAATGATTTTGTTGAAGTGTTTTTGGCGTTTGTGAATCGCAGGAGGAAATGCAGGTGGAAATGGAGCTCCGGCTGTTAGAAGCTCTTGAAATCTATCCTCCCGCCAAATTGAAAGGCAGGTTTCGAGCGTTTATATATATCTTTTTGCTCCTCGATCATTTTGTCCCCCCCTTTTCGCAGAGCGTTTCGCTTTGTTCGTTAACTTTTCCCCTTGATTTTCTTGCAGGAATTCATCGCCATTTTGTGCTTTATGGGTTAACACAACATATGCAAAGAAGGTTTGAATTGCTTCACTATACTTTTTCTACTTGTATGTTGTCCCCTTCCCACACACAAGGTACACAACCACCCTCTCCCATTCTACTCTTCTACTGTTCTATCAATCATAAAGAAGGCTTATGGACTCTCTTCATGTCATGTATCATGATTTTATTGATAGAACAATGGATGGGAATGAATAAAAATATGTTTTTTTTTTTTTTTTTCAATCTAGATGAATTAGGAGTAAAAAATTAGAAATAGAAATTGTGCGTACCTCCAATTATGATCCACTTTATTGGAGGGTTTTGTGCTTTATTGGAAGAGAGAGGAGATCACGTGGTAGATTAGAGAGAAAAAAGCGCGCACACACAAATATATATATATATATATATATATATATATATATTGAATACTACTAACTCTAGTACTATCTATTCAAATATACTTCTAATGAAGCCAAGTCACTACATGACATAGCACAAGGTGCTTGGCAGAGAAAAACATATAAGAATTGGTTTTTCATTTTTTTTTTTACAAAAAAAAAAAAAAAAGAAAAGAAAAAGAATCAATTTAACACACGGTGGAGGTAAGCATGCACGAGGTGTATAAGAGTGGTCTTCCACATTGTTAATGATATTATTTATGCTAAACTTTATGACTCCATAGCCAAAGAATCGGTCTAGGACTTTCTCATATCAAGTTAGATTTTATTAAATGATATGCGAATCAAGCTGCTTATACATGTATTGACTAGAGAAGTTGATTCCTCGATTGGTTACTTTGTAGGAAATGAATGATTTTCTAACCTTTCGGATTTCATTGTCCATTTTTGTCTTTAGATTTTGCTTATTAATGAAAGTTGTTACTTTGTCTTTAAAAAAATAGAATGGTTTTCCTTTTATTGTTTTTTTATTTTTATTATTATTAATTTTTTTTACTACTTGCTCATTCTAACTTGGCAAATGACCGTGGGTGTACCCCTCCTTACTTTCAAAAAAAAAAAAAAGGAACCCACAAAAACTCCCAAAAAAAAAAAAAAAAAAAAAAACCTCAAACCAATGGCGTTGTTCCCAAAAAGTGTGGTTAGTATGAGGAGAATCCTCCTGGTTATATATATCTCTACCTTATTGTCAGTACTCTCCTAAAAAGAGGAAACTTCAATTCTTCTTGCAGTTTCAATAAGCACATAACTCCTGATGACGTTTTGAAGCTGTTGGATCGCTTCTACAACTTGGAAATGCTGGTTGGTGAAATCATTATTTAGTTTAGTATGTAGTAACTATATATGCCTGCCATTAACAATTCTGATAGCTATTTTTGATCATTTCAGGAGCCAGATGATGATGAGGAAGACATTCTGAATAAGGAGGAAGAATTTTCCCTACCTCCAAGTTTTTTCGGCAAGAATCCATGAATATGACTCTTAAATGACAGATAGATCAAAGACCATATATGCAGTGATCGATGATGATATAGTAACATATATCAAGTTACTCATTTTGTGTTCTGGAATGTCATCATCATAATATATACTGCTCATATATAGATAGTGAAATACAGATTTGCAGACATATTTTGATATTATATTATTAGTGAAGAACTAGAGTTATGATGACAGTACTGTGATGTTCAACTATTCTGTTTCTGCAGAAAGACTGAAATTAATATAACTCTTTGTTGTTGTTCATCAGCTTTTTATTAGCAGCATAGAACAACAGAAAACATGAATTCTAATAGTAATAAAATTGAAGTTTCAAAAACACAAACAAAAAATAACATGGCTGAAGAACATGAAATTGGGATCGGGCAGGCAACCTTGCTTTGTTGGTAAAATATTTAATTTCTTCAGCAGGTATTGCTACTTATAGGAAACTGATTCATGGCTGCTGGTTTCCACCATTACTTATTCTGCCATTTCAGGAAAAAAAAAAAAAAAACGAGTTTTAGTTGTGAAGACTAATTAACATGGGGGGATCTGCAGACATTCAAAGTTAGAACACTCACTTGAGATTCTGCAGCTTTGGCTTCTTCAGATTTTGCGGTGTCTTCGCCTGAAACAAGAAGACGAATATGTTAGCATTCAGATACATCTGGTCGAATATAAATATATAGTCTCGTTATTAGCTTTAACAGTAACCTTAGCTTGAATAAGCAGATGATGATGTTTTGTGTTTTGTAATTAATGAATATATAAGTTTTACCTCCATTATCTTCTGGCAAATCAGATGTCCAGAGTGTGAGGTTGTCTCTTAAGAGCTGCATGATTAAGGTGCTGTCCTTGTATGACTCCTCACTCAGAGTGTCTATCTCTGATATCGCCTCATCAAATGCTTGCTTTGCCAAATGACAGGCCCTGCACCCATTACAATTCAATGCTATTGCATTAAATGCTTGCTTGCTTTAACTAAAAGTTTAGTAATTAATTTATCATATGAGACTCAAATCCAAGATTTTATTTCAAGGAATATAATCAAAATGAATCAAACCACTTATTTTTAAAATATAAAAATTAAGTTTAGCTAAAAATCTATCAAATTCTAATTTTTTGAGCTCAAACTCGACTCAAATATGATTAATAATTTTTTTTTTTACACAAACAAGTGTAATAATAAGCATTTTACAACCAAAGAAGTGTGAAGACTTACCTTTCTGGAGAGTTCATGATCTCATAGTAGAACACAGAGAAGTTCAATGCTAGTCCAAGACGAATTGGATGAGTGGATGGGAGTTCAGTGTTTGCCGCCGCAAAAGCCGCCTAAAAAAATTGTAAGGACCAAGTTATCATGAGAGTTATTAATCAAAATAAGTTAATAGTATTTTTTATATAATTTTTAAACAAATAAATTTATACACTAATTATAAATTAAATATATATTATTAAATCAGACAAATAAAATGAGATTACGAGAAAAAAAAAAGAAAAAAGACAAAAACTATGTACAAGACAACAAATCATTAAACATGCCTCATAGCCCTTGAGAGATTGCTCAGCAGCCTCTTTTTTCTCTTGGTCATTCTTAAACTCAGCAAGATACCTGAAATAGTCACCTTTCCTGATACAAATACACCAAAACTGTTACATAACACTGCTGAAAAAGGAAAAATGATATATGAATTTTTATGGATATAATTCTTGTCATGTGTATAAATTGTTGTTTAAATCAATCAAAGCATGATGCATTAATAAAGCGTAGAAAATGGAGTAAGAAATGAGAGTAGATGTAGTATTACTTATGAAAAATTAAAACTTTTGATCTACTTTTTAGATCATCCAATAGAAATAACAATAGGAAAGGAGTCTATTTATCATCCCCATTCGATCTTGCCCCACCTCAATTTCAATTTCCAACAAAAAATAGAAAAATTTTCACATCCCTATTCTCACAAAAAAAAATTTAGAACGAAATATAGTCGTAATTAAATACAATTTTATGTGTGTGCATGTGTTGTAAAAAAATGAGAAGAGATACGATCCGACTCAAAAAAAAAAAAGAGAAAAGATTTTTCAAACTTTATAATATAATCATATGCACTAGATAGTACGTATAAATCTGTGCATTTGATAGTATATACTTCACTCTCAAAATGAAACTATAAAATTGTATTTTTGTAAATATCTTTCACTTTGAAGTGCATAAATTTATATTACAATATGCATATACTACAAGTGCTTAAATTTTATACTACAGATGCATAAATATAAATCAGTATAAACTCGTGCACGTGACATCAATCCATATAAAGGATTGATCAGGATCGTTAATCTGGACCAGATCAACGCCACTTTTTATTCAATTATATATATATATATATATATATATATATATATATATATATATATATATATACACACACGCAGGCCATATAAGAGGAATAGGAATCGAAAGAAGTTTCATACATTTTGTAGAAGAAGACGGTGGCTTCGCCGGACTTGGACGACGGAACGAGGTGTTTCTCGATGATTTCGAGAATGTCATTGCAGATTTTGGAGAGCTCGTCTTCAACCTTCTGGCGGTAGGCTCTGATGAGCTTGACATTGTTTTCGTTCCCCTTCGATTCCTCTTTCTGCTCGATCGAAGACATGATCCTCCACGACGCCCTCCTGGCGCCTATCACGTTCTTATACCCAACCGACAGCAAATTCCGCTCTTCCACCGTCAGTTCCACGTCCAGCTTCGCTATCTGCTTCATTCTCTCCACCATTTCTGGCGATTCAAATCGAAATTCGTGCACTCAGAAACGAATATAAAAAAAATATTAGAAAGTCGAGAAGAAATTAAAGAGATTATGAGAAGTTAACCGTCGTAACGCTCGGCTTGTTCGGAGAGCTTGGCGAGGTAAACGTGGTTCTCCCTATCCTTTTCTGATAACATTTTGGCGTTTTTTGAGATTCGGTGATCGGAGAGTGAAGCTTTTTGATGATTATTTTTTTTGACAGAGATGGAAATGAATGTTTTTCTCAGATTTTTCTTTCTGGTGAGAAAAGGGTATGGGAGAAGAACGAGGAAGATGAGGTCTGGCATGGGCGTTAGAATAGGACAAATTAAAGGTGGAAATAAATTACTCCGTAACATGGAGCAATTACTGGAGTCGGGTTCGGAGAAATTTTCTTCTGCTTGTTAATTAATTCAATGTAAAATTGATAAAGTTAAATTAAATAATTTTGCATAAAGAATAAGTGTTTTGAAACGTGAAATGTATAATACTTTCAAATTACAATCTAATACTTTTTTAAAAACACATAAGTATTACATTTTACTTCGTCTCATGTATGTGAAACAATCTCACACAAAATTTACTCCTGCATAAAAAAAAATATAATTACATGTAATGATATCTACCCTATATACAAGATGACATCGTCTCAATCGAATGAATTGAGTATGAATTTTATACCAGGCTAGAAAGTTACAAATTTGATTTTTATCAAGATCATATAAGTATATAACAATTCATCGATTTTGTACCTTAAGTCCTACAATCCATTCGCCCCTCAAGTACCGAAGAGATCATATGCATGCTTCTCTACAACACTCATCAGATTGTAAATTTGTAGCCTGAGTTTATCTCACTAGTTTAGTATGCAGTATTTGGGAGAAGGAGTGTAAATTTGTATTTGATTATTGTTTGAATTAATATGCAATAATGTCCTAGATCTTGGCATGGATTTGTTCAATGTCAATATATACAAGGTGGTAGTGCTTTTAATGACATTCATTATAAAGAGTAAACATATATAAAAGGAATTTTAAATTTCCTGCACCACTGCACAATCTGCATTGCATTAACATATATGCTAGCTAGATTCAATGAAGTCCTTTGCTCAAGTATTTGAGCAGCAAACTAGCAATCCTATTAGAGCACCCCTGTTAAGGAGATTTTTCATGAGTATGGGTGTTTTTGGCTGAGTTGGAGGAGAAAGAAGAGGGATGGGTGGAGTTTTTGTCAAGAAAGAAATTTAATATTAAAAAAATGGTAAATGGTTAGAATATGCGCGTGCGTTAGAATAATCGCAAATTGACGACCATTCTAATATTATTTTGAACTTATACCTGACAATTAATGTAAATGGTAAACAGGATTGTTAATGAATTGACACGATAATAACACAAACACAATAAGACTAAACACAAACACAACTTGTTAAAATTAACGCGTTAGAATTCTAAATATGAACACAATTGTTAAATGAGTTAAACAAGCTGACAAAACCTGATAACCATAATGGGCGCCCGTTGGGCAGGTTAATACAATCTTTTAAAAATCAAACAGAATAATAATTATATTCAATTCATAATATACCATAATATTCATAAAATGATAAAATAATATCTAAAAAACATAACTAAGACTAATATTAATCCATTGTTATACATATATGGACCATGGTTCATATTGCATTTGAACCCTGATACAAAAATTATATACCTTCAGTTAACACATTCTATAAACTTATAATTGCTTACACATAATATTATAGATACAAGTACAGAAACTATCAACTGCAAATACAAAATGTGTCAACTAAAGATACATAATCTGACTTGATAATTGCTGATACATAATATGATAGCTACAAGTACAAAAATTATCAACTGTAAATATAGAATGTGTAAACTATAGATTCTGAATGTGTATTTTTTTTATTTTTTTTTGGAGGCTAGGATCTACAAAACAATGTAAACTCCTGGTTCATGGTATAATTTGTCAATATTAATAGGTTCTTAATGATTAGACAAGTTGACCCATTAACATTGTTCCCAAACTAAGTTGACCCGTTAACATGTTAAAACTAAACGCTAACATGTCTAGTTTTGTATCGTCGTGTTGCAAATTATTAAGTATAAACCCCACTCAAAATTTCAAAAACTACACTTACCATTGAGTTTGCTCTTATACTAATATATCGTTAGCTATTCCAAAGTGGAGCTGAATTCATCGAGTCAAGTTATATATTACATGATCCTATGTACAGAAATAAGAACTAAAGGAGGTGAAAGGGTATTTGTTCATAGAACAAAGAAATTCCGAGCACTATAATATTTATGATCGACTCTTGCATCCGTAAGTATGTTCAGTACAAGACATCCATTTCAATTA